AATCATAGGCTTTTGATAGGTCCAAGAAAATACCTAGGACTATTTCATTATTTTCAAATGACTGAATAATTTTCTTAGTGAACTGAATTATTGCCGTTTCTACTGATCTTTCTTTTATATATCCATGTTGATAAGAACCTAACAGGTTGCACTTCTTCATAAATTTCATGACTCTATCACACACGGCCATCTCAAAAAATTTTGAGAAAGATGGTAAAACGATGGTAAACTAACTCGTATTTCGTCATCACCACAAGTATGTTTGTTTTTGATTTTCTGTGCCAAATTCTTTATTTCATCTTCGGTTACAGGTTCAAGAAACATTGAATGTGAATTATTTGTGAAGTTACAAGTGAATTCAGTTTGATTTAGTTTCTCAAGTGGTTCAGGTATAATGTTTAATAAAAATTCATTATATCGATTGACCGTGTTTGTTGGATTCCCTTCAAATACAGGGTTTGTAGCTTCATATTTGCTTGCTATATCTTTATGAATACTCCAGATACATTTCATTTTATTATCAGATGTGATTTTTTCTTGGTAGAAATCTTCTCTTCTCTTTTTCAGCAATTGATTGTACTCTTTTTTTGTTGCACTGTAAGCTCCTCTCAAATCAGTGTGGTATCTTGATTTAGTAAGCAAATCATCTAGCCTATTTTTGTATTCTTCAACTTCCTAATCTCTGACGAAATTTTTCTTTTTCCTTTCCTGAATAAACCTCTAAGGGAAACTTTCATGGAATATTCTCAGGAATGTGTTTATAAAATGGTTCCATTGTTGGTTAATGTTCGATTAATGTGTTTTTATTTTCCTTAGAGAATATTCTCATGAATTTTTTTTTTTCACCTGGTCATTCATTTACCAGGAAATTAATTTTTTGTGCAGTGTGATCAGATATTGAAGTCTGCAAAATATGTGTGGTATAATCATCTTTTATATTAGTAAAAATATTATCAATACATTTTTTTTAAGTTGTAATTCGGATATTCTCATTGATGGTGACAATAAATGAGTAGGAGTTAAGTAGACGGTTCATTCTATTGATGTTTTTTTCATATTGGAGACACTAATTATATTTTTTTGCACTTTGTAATGTATTCCGGTTCTGACACCACGACAATAATGGGATGTTGAAGTGAAATTTTGGATTCCATAGAGTTTTAATTGCCACTCAGTTTTCCAGTGTTCTGTCACTGCTAGGAAATAACAGTTGTTATGTTGACTTAATAATGTGTTCAGCTGATCTACACTATTTCCCATTGATTGAAGATTTTGGTGAATAAGACTGATTTTCTTTTTTCCAACAGATGAGGTGTTGTTAGGGAGCTCACTATTTAAAAATCCCGATTTCTTTGGTATCAGTGATATTTCTGAAAATCAAATCGTTTAAAAGCCATGCTTCTGGGCCATGTAGACTGGTTATAAACCACATCTTTGAAACGTTCGTTTACTCCAAATATGAAGCATTTATTTTGGTTTTCATTAGTGAGCAATTCCTTTATTATAGTATCTGCACCTTTAAGGCAATCTAAATTCTCAACATTCTCAGATATTTTTTTAGTGATAGTTCGTCTGATTCTGTACAAATACAACCAGACTTTCTTTTCTACTTCGAACTTATCATTGCAGACATTTTCTCAAATATTGTGTGCTGGTCTTCTGTTTGTTCTTCTCCTGTAAGAAACCGTTTTGAAGTCATTTTCAGGTCTATCGCCATATTCATTGTTGGTGAGGTTAATAATTTCTTGCATTTTTTCCAGTTTTGCATTCTCGATTGATACAATGTTTTCCACAGGTGAGTCACTATACTTTTCATCTGACTGACTGGGATTCTCTTGAAAAAAACCAGACGTCTTTTTAGTGGTATGTATCGGAGAGTTTGTTTTTGCTGCAGTACTATATATTTGTTTTGAGTTTGTCTTTATTTTTTTGTCAGTTTCAATCTTCATTGATTCGACTTTTTCTGATAATAAACTATTGTTGATTTGCAACAGCTTATTATTTTCCATTAGTAGATTATCTTCCTTTTCTTTGAGGAATTGATTCAGCATCTCATTTTCCATTCTGAGTTTTATATTTTCATTCAAATCCTTTCGATTCAGACCTTGGTTTTGGGTTGAAATCACAGCAGTTAATTCTGCTGTTACAGATTTTTATACATTTAAGCTTAGCTTTTGCAGCACATGATACATGATAACAATTTTCACATTCTATACAAGTTAGGTACCTACTTATTAGGTTTGGTTTGACAACATTTAAAGGTTTTGTCAGTGAGAACACTCAATTCACATCTGACTGGGTTGCCACTATCGAAAATACGTACTATTAGGACGTTAAATATTAATTACAATTGAAACGGATTATGTGAAAACTAAAATAAACGAATTGTAGATGAAAAGACAAGTGTCAGATTTCAATAAGCTGAGACCGTAAATCAAGCCATGAATGAGAAATTAAAAAAAAACAAAATGTTTACTGGCACTTGTTCCCTCAATAGATTGTAAGTGATAAAAATCTGAAAAATAAGTGAAATAATTTGCAAGTTTATAAATATACTTACTGCAATGGTAAATTCTAAGATCATTCTGATAACAAAGATCTTGTTAAGGAAATTGAGGAAAAATGATTTTCTATACTATGTTGGATTATCAATTTTGTCCATTGTAGTTTCTGGATGTAATCATGTCTGAAGTTCGAGTTGAACCGGGTCTGAAATTTTCAGTTGTTCAGTTTTGGCTTTGAAATAATTTTCAAGAACAGGAGGTCTTGATCTGCCTACTCCTTAGGTAGAGGGAGGGTAGGTAGTGGAAAAGGGAGTGTGACTTCCTTTTCCTGAAGTGTGTTCTGTAAAGTTGTGAGAGTGGTAATTTCTGTGAATCATCTGTTTGTTGAGGCAGTTAGGAGGTTTTTTCAATTTTAACAGCTTTGCGGATTATCCTGGTCTGGAGAGTTTTTTTGGTGGCAATGGTTTTGGTGTTTTCAAAGCTTAGTATATGACCTATTTCAAGATGGTGTTTGAAGAAGGATTAGACTGAATCTCATGTTATTAGTCTCAGTTACAGACTCTTCTGTTGGTTCGGCCAATGTATGTTGTGGAGCAGATGGAACAGGTTATTTGGTATATATCCTGCGCCTCTTTGAGTATTGTATCCTTAGATGTTTGTGAAAAACTGAGAATTTGATTGTTGGCCGTGAATACTGCTCTTAGTTGTGTCTCTTCAGAATTCAGTCTTCTTTTTCAGTAATTCCATGAATATAAGGAAAAAAAGCTTCTGGGTGATCAGTCTGTTCATCGGGTAGTTTGGGATGTGAAGTATGGGTTTACTGAAGTTGGATGGATTTTTGGATTTGGGAGTCGGGATAGTCATTACCAGTTGAAATAGACATTAACCCAAATTTTTCCAACTTTTATTGTACTATAGCAGAAAAATGTATCCAATATAGCAATACAAGATAACCTTTTGGATTACCTGAAGAATATTAATAGACTCAAGGGATGATTCAAATTAGATTATATCAATGTTGAACTACGAGAAAATTTAAAAAAATCACAAGGAACTGACGAACATATCCTTTCAACTATATAAAAATTTTCCTGATAAAATTTCTGGAATGTTCCCAGTTCTCCAAAAAAATGTATTAGTTATTCCCATTCACAACTGTCACACCTCTGACCAATTTCTTCAATACCATTTCTATTGTAACTTATAGATAAACTTATTGAAAAACACTAAATATATCTGTCTCTCTGACAGAAATCAAATTATCAAGGTAACAAATAAATTATAAGGCTAGGCCTTATCTTATTGTTTATATATGTGAATGATCCTCCAAATATCAATATAATAGGAAAAAATACATTATATACATATGTTTTTACTTTATGGAGGTGTAGAAAAGAAAATTAATGAACACCATTGAAATCAATTTAGAAAAAAAAAATATTGGTGTGATATTATGTTCAAACTTCACAAAAACCAACATCATATCGTTCAGATTTTTGCACGAAATCATTGCAGAATAATACCAACACTGCGCCAATTCACTCCTACAAGTTATTATTAGTCATCACCAAAGAGATGAGAACAGCTGAAAAACTGACTATTTTTTATTATTGTATTACATATACTCACTCATAATATCTATGTACATGAGTCATGAATGTTTAGCAGTCAGAAATAAATGGAAAACATTAATTTTTACAACTTAAAACTTACATTTTGGGACTTGACTGGTGCATTGAACACCCTGCATGCTCCACAGAAAATATTTTTTATCAAACCATATTTAGAATTTAGGTGTTCACTACCAAGATCATTTTAGTGAACTAATAATCATAACCCCACAAAGTCCATCTAGAAGAGCGAAATTGAAGACACTAATGACTTCTTATTCGATATTACCAATAAGAAAGTCTTGAATTGTATGCATTTCTGAATTTTTCGATTGTAATGAAAGTGGTTTCTGTATGAGATCATTTATTTATTGCATATTTATCCTTTTCTATATCAGTTACTAAAACCATAGTATTTATTATCTTCATACTATGCTAAAACTCAACTCTTTTTCTACTTTAACAAGTGAAAACAGAAGTATGTCCAAGATGCAGTAAACAGTTTTAATTTATAAAAAAAGAAGTGAAGGCAAGAATAGTTTACTAACTCTTCAGCATTGTTCCAAAGTTTGAAGGTTATATGTGGATCATGACCTTACAAGTGTAATAAAGATGGATTAATAAGCATGTTCCCATGGTCAACTACAAATGACATCAAGACAATATTTAGACACCAGTATCTAATCAAAAATGGATGTGATTGGGGTTCACTTATGCAGGAAAGAGAATACACAGCGAATAAAAAAATAGGATAAAGATTCTCATCCAACTATCTCGTTTCACTAATTAAGAAGAATATATGGAAGATACGATAAAACCAACTCCAAATAAAAATCACTGATATCACATAAAACTGGAAAAAGAATAAAAATATATTTCAACTTACCCATCGCGATGTGTGAAGAGGCGTAGTACTATAAAAAAAATAGCTGCACTTGTGTTTAGAAATAAATTAACTGCATCCCAGAAAACACTATATATTATAATAATGAACCCAAAAATTCACAAAAATGACACCAAATTGACCCTCTAGTCGAATACCAAACCCAATCCAAACGTCAAACTTCGCGAACTATCAAAATGGGCGAGCCCAATGTTAGTTTCAATTTTCCCCACCTCTCTTTATTGGCAGCACTACAGAGGATATGTTCGGTAGTTTTGCACCATGAGACCCCATACTTCAAATCTTTTTTTTTTGTTTTTAATAAATATCTGCGTAAGAAATGTCCCAGAAGTAACCATCTACCTTTGTTACGATAAAATAATTGAAATTATTTATCACTGTTTCATTTCATAATACCATTGCCAATCTTCTGATAGATTATACATTTNTTATTTTCATAAGCTATTCGTTAATTTATCATTGTTTAAGTGAAATGGGGGAATTGATACAATTTTGAAAATTTATTTTTCCATTATTGATAAGAAAAAAGGTGTAGTCTAACAATTTTTCTGGATAGCTTACTAGATAAAATTAGGAATAGTACACGTACATAGGAAGACTTTTTTGTAGATAAATCAAAAATCTGTCAATCAACAAGTCTTTCGTAGCTTTTTTGAAACAGGTGAATGGCTTATTTTATTTTATATTGTCTTGTAGGCAGTTGAACATCTTACACCTTTATAGTTAGGGTAAGTGCTTATAATATAATTTGATATTATTTGATTGATTTATAAGTTGTACTTTGTGTCCAAGATAAAGAGAATCAGCATGAAAAAATCAGTCAAATAAAGAAAAAGTTGCCATTTTAGAACTCATTTGAATGACGTTTTGAAATTCAATGAATTTTGATTATTTCGTTAGATATTTGAGAAGGGAAATTAGCCAAATTAATTTTTTTTTCTCTGAGGTTATTTATGAAGCTACTTACTCATTGCCACTCTTCAATGTACAAAATGACATATACAGATTTTCAATCTAATGTTCCGTCTTTGTGAAACCATCACCAACTTGATTTTTTATGTAGACCGTAAAAAAGAATCGGCTAGTATAAGTTATCCTTTTTGGTGAAAACTTCACAGATGTATCACCATAATCGTTAAATTAGTGATTTTTAAATGGGCAATTTATTTCTAATTCAACCGACTTTGCATGTCTTATGGTTTCTGATTTTCCCATGCTGGTTCTCCTTATCTTGGATACATTATATATTTGTGATGTACTGTTTGGAACCTTTGGTGTAGTAATGAATATTACTGGAGTTTTTTCCCAACACCAAATCGTTATTTTTAACACCTCAACACGTGTTTCGATCACCAAGTGATCATATACAAGAGCAAGATTGAACTGGTTTAATCTTGAGGAAGAAGTGCTTTCAAAGATAAGTAGTCTACCATTGAAGCAATGAAAACCACACCAACAGCTGCATTGGAGACGCTCTTGAATATTTATCCTTTTCCTCTTTTAATAATGAGAGAGGCAAGGGTGAGCCAATTAAATCTGAAAAATTCACAGAGTGACAAGGACAGAACAGAAATTTCATAATATGTACCAAACATGACACCGAAGTATATGTTTGGTACAAACTTCACAGTTGAAGTCTGAACCATGAAGGCCGAGAACATGCTCTGGAGAAAAATCTGATACACAGGCAAGTTGAAACCCTAATAGCGAACAAGAGCTGTATTTACTATGCGGAAAAAATTAACATTTCAGTTACTCTCTCAGTTACACATTAGTTTACCAGGTTGAAGTGTATGCAATCTTACAATGTGAAAGGCACAGTTTGAGGCTCAGTGAAATGAGTGTATCATTGTTTTCACAGACAATCGAGCTGCATTTGGGGTACTAATGAACCCAAAAGTAACATCGTGACTGATCTTGGAATAATGTGTAGAGTTAAGAAAACCGGCGGACAGAACAGTCAGGTTCTATGTGCAACAAAAAAGGTAACTCCATATATAGGACCAGAAACAGCTGAGCGCGTAATAATATCCTTGGTTTGGAGCAATATAAATGAGAGGGTCTGTAAAAAACATAAAGAGTACTGGGAAAATATACCTGGAAACATACACAGAAAAAATTTTATGAAAGGTCTGTCTGAGAAAAAAGGAAAGAACTGATTCAGAACAATTACAGGACTACTCACTAGAATGTCCATTGAGAGGACACCTGAACTAAATAGGGCTGTATAATAGAGACCCCCAGCTGAAGACAATGCAACAAAGGGACAAAGACAGCTTGTCATACTTTGAGCAAATATCAGGCATTGGATCACAAGAGGTAAGCAATCTGTGGATAACCTACGTTATTCGCAGAAGAATATAAAAAACATCCAACAAGGGATCTGTACAAATTGCTATAGGAAACCAGATTGTTAGAATGAGTTGGATAAGATGCAATAAGCCCATAAGGCTGTAGCTTCTTCCGGAAACTTGAAAGGAATGGAATTGTCAGAAGGTTCCTAAGAACAGGAAAACCCTACCATTGATAAAAATCATTTTTTGAAAATCTCTGAAAATGTTCAGAGGTTTCTTCTAAAATGAAACTAATTTTCATATATTGAAGTACATTTCCTTCATGAAAGTTATTCGTTCATTCAGATATTTTTCATTTTCATATATATTTTTTTTCAGTTGAGAATTCAAGACATTCACATAAGGTATGAAGATTCTACGAGTATACCGATGCAACCTATTGCTTTTGGAATTACACTTCAGTCTCTAGTTGCACAGAGTTGTGACAGTAATTGGTTACCCAGCTTCATACATAATAACAAAAGTGAGGAGTCATTCAAGCTAGTAGAATTACAAAAATTTGCTGTCTATTGGACGAATCTAAGAGAGGAAGAATCGTTATCGGAGTTGAGTATTGGACAATTGGCTGTGAGTATACTGAGTGTCATTTTTCATCCAGTTATAATTTTTTAATTACTAAAAAGTTGTAACACTAAACAAATTTATTGGTTATATGTACTCCATGAAATCCTATATATTTTGTTCCTCTAGGTTAACCCAGAACTAAATCTCATTCTGTCTGAAAGATATAATTTTTAAGTGAATATAAAGTGTATTCCTGTGGTTCTGCAGGTTCCTTTCAACCCATAGATTAGGGATATCTAAAGTTCTTTATAAGGAAATGAGAATAGCAAGCCATATTATTCACCTATGTACGTGGTTATAGATATTTTGAAGACCAACCGAAAGTACACAGCAAGCATAGAGTGAAGATTCAGTCCTGATAAAATAGATCTTCAAACTACAAACATAATCGCTGGTGGAAGGCTTCTAATTCTAAATGACAATCACTCGGAGTTATTTCAAGATAGGCTTGTCAAATCATACACCTCACTACAGAAAAAATAACAAACAATACAGTAACGCATGCTCACATGAACATACGCACACACATACACTTGCGTACACTTGCACACACCGCACTTACACATGCAGGCTCACACATACACACACACACATTTCATTAGTTAGAAATAGGTAGAATTCCTCAGCAATTGAAAAATAGTACGGCCATCCCAATACCTCTATGAACCTGCGAACTTTCATCCTATAAATACCCTGCCATCCTTTAAGAACACACTTCTGAAATCACAAATTGGCAAACAATATCTTTCTTTTCAAAAATTCCCTCTGAGTAATTTTATTCAAATTCAGTTACAGTCTATAGAACAATTATTCACATGTCAATTACTATGCGAGTCTAATTTCATTACTAGAACTCAGCAGCAAAATTTTGAAATTCTAGCAATGTGTACAATTCTGAAGTGTAAAAAATACCTATTAACGTAATGCTTGACTGGTTACCTTTAAATCAAAATCAATACTTTTCAATGATTTTCATGTACAAAATATTGAAAGAAGGACTTTCTTTATACTTCAATCAATTCATCACAACAAATAATCAACTATATGAATATCACACTCAGAGAAATTTAATCTTCATATAATTTATACCGACTATAGGAAAGCTATGAACTCCTTGTTTCGTAAAGATCTAGTCAATATAGTGGAATACTTACAAATGTTAAGCAAAGTCCAACTTTGCATTCATTCAAATCAAACCTCATGAAATGTATAAAATGCTGATTCTATTCACATATTTGTTTATTTTTTTTAAATTTATTTCTATCAACTAGTCTATTATATATCGCATTATTCATATAATTACATATTTCACTTTTATTATATGATGCACAGTAACATTAGCCAATGACCACTCTCCACAACCATGAAGTGAGTGGTCATTGGTTTCGAGAATCCTGTGCCCTGAGGAGATGTAGCAAACCAAAAATAACAGGCTTCTGCATTTGTCCATTTTGAGGCAAGCGGGTATGATCTTAGGATTAGAAAGTAGTAAAGGTAGCATTCTACCTAGTACTATAATTAGTACATACATTTTAACAGAGAAATCTGGGTAGAGTCTGCATAATTTGGAGAATAAATCTCAATAAATCTCTTCTCAAACGATATTTGCTTCACCCGGAACAGTAGATTCCATGACGAATATCATCTTACTTTGATGATCGAAAAGGAATACATCAGGCTTATTAGCCCTTACTTGCCTGACGGTGGGGAATGAGTAGTTCAAATGAATTATTATTATATATTGTATTAAATGTCCTAACCTAAGCTTCAATTCACAGCTTATTATGATTTAGATATCTTTGACCTATCTTGAATTCAAATGATTGTGTGAAAATTACTCCCAATAAATTCCATAGAAAAACTTGTTTTAATTGGACAGTGTATTGAAAAATATTGAATGATCGAGAATTAACAGAAAACTATAAAATCCTCGTCGAGTCATGTTTCAGGAGAGAGCAGTTACTTGAGAGTTGAAGTTAACATGAAATATAAAGACAATTATAAATTAGGTGTTCAGTGCCATATCAGTAGTGACTTGAATGGGCAAAATATTGCGTTATTTGAAAAATATTTTATTAATTTGTGAAATTGGCAAATAAAATGATTTTTCATTACACTTGACATGCCATCAGAATAACCACGAGAAATGTACCAATTCAAAAGGAAATATGGAAAAGTTGATTCATTAAAAAACATTGGAACAACATTGACTTATGCATACTCAATTACTTGTATAGGATGGATAAATATATGCACTTTATATTTAGAAATCCTAATATACTACACAAAAAGTCTAGATATAAAATAAAATAGTATATTAATTTGTGAAATTGGCAAATAAAATGATTTTTCATTAGGAGATTGTGTTGAACAGCAAATTTGAGAAAAATCTCAGGGACTATATTATACCATCCGTAAGTGCTCAAGCGCATTTAAAAAGAAACCGAAGCTCTCAGCCATTAAGGTCATCAGCACCAAGAATTGGAAGTGATTTGTTATTGGAAGAAGTGAATTTAATATTGAATGATGTAAGTTTTATTGAAATAATTCCAAGTATGTTCTGAAAATAACGGAAATTTTTAAATTTCATGGGTTTGGAGAGTCTGAATGTCATTTTTTTTAAATTATATTGGTATACATGCCTCAAGTGTGATAAAATTTTCTGCTTAATTCATTGTTTTCTTTTTCCGTAGCAGTCGCTAAAGTTAAACGTGTTTTTAAAAGATTAGCGATTTTTGTTTGTTACAACAAATTGATCATGAATTTGTATCAGATATTGTTTAAAAAAAATGAATGTGTGTAACACAGTGTATTAAATGTCAACAAAGGTTTATGATGAGTCTACTGTGAGTAAAACAAAATGAATTTATTAGTGATATATGCGTTTCAAAGATGTCCGTAAAGACATTGAAGATGATGAACGCCCCGGATTAGCTAATGCCATGAAATTTTTTCGAATGTTTGGACATGTTGTAGAATTGGCCGCGGTGGTAGTGCGTCCGACTCACGATCGGAAGGTCGTGTGTTCGATTCCCGTTTCGACCAGATATTTTTCTCGAGAGAATTTATCTGGTTGAAGCTGGAATGATTCTGCAACCGTGTTAGGAATCACACGTTAAAAGGTAAGACCTCGTTAGTCCTTAGCTCGCACAAGTTTATTAACTTCTGAGAGTTGTCGTTCGTATGGGGGCGGCAGCTGATTAACAGCTGAATACAAAATGTATCATATAGTTATTAAAGTTTTATGTTTATGTTAAAATATATGTTTAAAATATGTTCTTTCCATTACCCAGCTATCGCACCCCTACGAACGACAACCCTCAGAAGTCTAAACTTGTGCGAGCTAAGGACTAACGAGGTCTTACCTTTCAACGTGTGATTCCTAACACGGGTTGGACGATAGCAAGTGAAAATCGAGCGTTCAGCCTGCGGCTTGAACCATCGACTCACACATCGGCCGATTGACTGAGTGAACAATTCATACTACAATTTATACATCCTGGTCCTCCTCTCTATCATAATTTCAGTCTCAATTTAAAATGGTTCCATGAAAGCATTCTTGCTTTTTTCTAAGTCTTTCTGCTTGAATTTTATTCTTGAAAGTTTCTGGTTTTCAACTATAACAACTGGGATTAAAACAAGTAAGACAACGTCAATAATTCGCATATCTACAAACAAGTACTTCTTCAAGTGATCTAATCTAAGCAACTATAAATACTGGTTGATGTGTTGATGGAATTCAGTTGATGTTGACATCTGATGATGTTGGCAAAATTTGTAGGTCTATTATTATACAAAATGAGTCTAGGAGAAGCACTATTGTACGCAAATCACACAATTACATTCAGTTTGTTACTCGTAATACTAGCCACCATATATCATTAGTCTTAATTCTTAGGATTAAAATTATGCTGGTTGAATTGGCAAGTTAAAAATTTTTGTGGCAGAGACTTGAATAAAGACAAAGATAGACAAGGACTGGGATGTATACATTGACCATTTCTTTTCCGTTTTTAATGGGCTGTAAAAATATGCCGAAGAGAGTGTTCAAACGGCTTAGTATTCTTTGGGCCATTCCAAATTCTATGTTATAATATTTTTGCTTCCCGATATTTTGAGTATTTAATTTTTCATTTATTTCAGTGGCAGTACAATCAGATTGTTACTATTATACGTGGTTTAGAAAATACAGAGAAGTTACGTAAGTATCACTTATACAAACCTATTCTGCCCATCAAAGAAGATGCTCGTGCTTGGTGGCTTTATGCAATTAGCTGTTCATGCCCTGACAAGCAACCAAATATTTGTAGGCCAAGGCCTACTTGGGAATCATGTTTGAAAAAAGCCAAAGAAAATGTGAAATATGTTCAAATTTCTAAAAAACTTTTGATCAACCCAACTGTGGCACTATCGATCGATGAAAAAAAATTTAAGGAAACAGTTGAATGGGACCGCAATTTCGATGAGTTGAAGATACTGAGAGAGGTAAATTTTAGAATTGTTCTGCTTGACGGTACATTACAACCATCCTAGTGATGTTGAAATATAAAAATGAATTGATTTTAGCTTGCCATGAGATCTGTGGATTTACCTGCTGGAAGTTCTGGTAGCAGTAGATCTGCAGGTCAGAGTATGCTAGTGAATTGGTTTCCAACTTGGATGGGATGGTATTCTTCTTCTGAAAGTTCTAGTACACCTCTACAAGAAACAAGTCAACTAGAGGGAGAAATATTACAAGTATTGGCGGACTCTGCCGAGTATAATACTATATTTAAAAGAGACATGGTTTTCGGACAATTCAGTTTTTGTTTAAAGAGTGGTACTTTGAATTTATGTACCTCTGATGGTGCTAGTAGGCAAAGGTGAGAGCTTAGTTTTATTAATATTCTCAGTGTGTTTCTGTCAATCGTTTACCGAACCGCAAGCAACCGCAACACGTGTTTCATTATACAATAGCTTTCTCAAGCTCTCATACATTTCCAAGAAATGGAAACACCAAAATTGGCCTTTGTTCGAGAACATTTTTTGTCTTTTTAATTCTCTATGAATATATGGAGAAGGGCAAACTTCCAGATTATTAATTATTTTTGAGTTTGTTAACCGTGATATGCAGGTTTTTGGGCCTGATGTTTCGTCTACAACTGCGGCCGACAGCAGTGTGAAACTATAAATTCGTTTCTAGGTGATTCTACCTGTTCGGTCTGAGACTCTTTTTGAATTTCTGAGAGAAATTATGTATTCTGTACTGGCGGTATACATGTTTTATTGATATTCAAGCTCTCTTTTTACGGTTATTATTCTTATGTTCATTGATTTCTATGACCTCCCTGTATAGCCCTCTGGTTTTATATAGAGATATCACAAAAATATTCCTAATCACGAGAAGAAGAGCTTGAACATCAAAAAGTATGTATTTGGGCACTTCATAGCAGAGAAATTCTCCCAATAATTCAAGAAGGGTCGGACCAAGCAGATATAAAAGCAAACAACGTGAGACATCTTGATCCATTATGAATGCTGACATGACGACCACTTTCAATTTGTATATAGCAGTACATCGACTTTGATAGTGTCTGTGGCAGCTTCAGACGAAACATTAATCTCAAAAACTTTCAGAAAACAGAAAATAAATCTATTTGACACTGACCATGGAAGCTTACACATTGTGATCAATGGCAAACTTACTGAGAAACTAAAAAACTATAAATGAGAACAAATCTCTAGTTCAATCATGAATGTTGCTCTCTATATATTCAATTACCCAGAAACCACTTCCTTTTGTCAATTTATACAAAAATAATTTGCAATGGAAACTGATAGAGGCATTGTTCGAGGGCAAAGCTACAGAACATAATAATAATAATTATTGAAAGAGGTATTTTTATTCAATTTTCAACATTTTTCAGTGTTCCTATGCTGGAGCTCGAATATAAAAATCTTTCTCTAAGTATTTTGAGCAAACCACGTACAAGTTCCCACTTAGTTGAACTATCGTTGGGCGCATTGTATTTAAGAGATAAAATCGCTCAAAATACAGTTTTTCCTATTCTCATTGGACCTCCTGGACTTGACAGGACCACTTTTTCTCGATCTCGGGTCATTAGTCCTCGTGTCAGCTTCACCGGAATGGGCATCAATGACTCGGAAGACATTGGAGATAACCTCTTTTATTTAGCTTACGAAAAAAAACCTCCAAATTCTGGCTGTGATTTTAGGTGAGTAACTTCTTCACTGAACCTGAATAAAACAGTGGGCAATAATACTTTCTTTTGGCCAATAATATTGTGTTCTTTCATAATCCAAACTATCTTAGCCAAAAACATTTTAGATTGGGAAATAGACAATCACTTATCGATTGGTTCAAATCCTATGTCAGTAATAGAAGATGAATTTTCTGATCTATTCGATGTGAGTTTGAGACCACAATAAAAAGGGATTTTCAGATCATTGTTATTTTCATTATATTTCAATGAGCTATCTTTGAACATAGAAGACAGGCGAGATTTTTGTATACTGACGATAACACTATCATTGTGATGTCACCAGATTTCCAGTGTAAAATAAAAACCAAAAATGTTGAGTCTTTCGAGATGAGACAAAATAAATTTTTCATTTTTTTATAAATATGGTAATCATCTTCATTTAATGTCATAATTTGAAATTGAAAATTTCTTGGTACTCAGATTCCAAACTGAATTTTTGCTATACTCTCAAGAAAACATCAGTCGACTTTTCAATTTTAAAGTTCAATTTTGTTAACCTGTATCTATATTCTATTTAATAAAAGTATAATTCTATTTAAACATGGTTTAAAGCGAATTCCTCTCGCATTTAGTACACACTCATATCTCAAATAATAACTGAAAACTTTTTCAGTCTAAGTGTAAAATCTAAGTGTTTAGATGTAGTTTATCAGCCAAACGCACTACGGTGGCTTATAGAATTTATATATTCACCTCATCAACGTGATATAACCCAGTCTCAGATTGAAGCAATGAAAACCAGAACAAAAAAAGAACTAATGAAAAATTGGGAGCACATTCTAGAAGGTCGAGTTGTGAGTGATTGGTAGATAAAATCGTATTTGAATAATTGTATTATTTATTATTTTTCAAGGTAACTAAAACTTCTTGGGAATTAGAACTAGATATAACTGCACCCCAGATAATATTCGTTGAACAATTCAGTGATCAAAATTCTGCAATGGCTGTGATTGATTTTGGAAAATTACAATTGAGAAATAATTCTGGAAATGTAGAACCACCAGTCAAGACTGAAAATGATACTAAAGAAAATGACGACACTGGTAAGTTTTGTGACATTAATTAATCCCGTTGATTAACAAAAATTTTTTCTGCTCAATAATTTCACATATTTAAAGTTCTAACCTATCCTATAACTACTATATAAATGATATGAATCCCGGTAAAGTACGAAATAGTGAGAAAAGTTTTGATTCAAACGTTTTCAATTTTAGCAAGCTAATATGTTTTCTATTGAAAACTATTTGTCAGACTTGAAGTTAACGAACTTTAAACTTCAATTATAATACTGACAACTGTTTTAACTTACAAAACAAGTAGACAAGGCTTTTTAAATTAATGTTGCCACGGAAATTATTTACAGTTTTTTAAAAGATACCATCTAAAAAGAACATTGCTATGGTATTTTATCTTGATTGTTACAATAAACTTGAAAGCGATAACATTTTTGAATAGAGAATGAAGAGATCTTTCAAACGATATATTACAAGCCTATACTTCCCATTTGAAAAATTGGGCGTTGTACCTATCATTCGATTGGGATTGAAGGTAGGGGTAGCATTTTTCCGTTGAAGTATGTCAAATTATAATTTAAATTTGACGTGTTTAGGGATTTTGTTGAAATATGTATCGTAACTGAAATAATGAATTTATTTCATTTGGTTTTTACTCACTGTATAACAAAAATCAATAATGTTCCTACGAAACGTGAATTTGAAGTTCAATGTCCAAATTACACTTTTGAGTTTTTCTGAAAAAGGTAATTCCAAAATAAGCACTGTTACCAAACACCAAAACCGCAATACTCTCTTGACGCACATTTCGTCAACCAAGTTGGCATCTTTAGGTGATGATGTAGACTAATCCCTAACTCTAAACCTGGTCTCTATTTATTTTCAACAGGGTACATTTTCACTTTCAGGTATACTTCAAAGATTTTGAATTTTTTTTAAAGTCCCCGATAAATTCAACAGAGTGATTCATTCTAAGGTTAAGAATAGGCTGTTTGGATCTTTGTCACTGGTCATAGTTCTCATGCCACTTTGTTGCTATTTCCACACTATCGAAATCATCGAAAAATATAAAATCATGTACTGATCTCAACAATTTTAGACAGTTTTCATTTATTCTATGTTCGTTCTCTAAGGAGTGTTGAGCGAGATTAGATTTTTATGGTCTCCGAAATCGATTATGTGCTGTACCTTCATTGACACAAGTTTTAATAGCTCGCTTAGTCTGACTGATGTATTTTTTGTCACAGTCCTCACAACTTATTTCATATATCCCAACTTTTCATTTTCCAACATCTTATGTTCAGGTTCACCTAATATTTGTTGAAGTGAGCAAGAAGTTTTGAAGGCTACTTTCAGGCTATTTGAAAAGTTTATCTTGGTTCATATCCGTTGCTTTTAGATATTTTCCTGATAAAATCAACGAGTATACGTGAAATCATATATCCTTGTTGTTTTCCTATACCAAGTGCCCCTATACCAAAAACTATTGAATATTCGAGGGATCTTAGGGTCAATTATCCTCAGTGGAGAAGTAGATAACGAAAACACGGCAATGGAAAACCCTTTGTAGCTAATATGTTCATGGATGAAAAGTTCTCCCTAAGTCTCAATTTGGAATCACAATAGACATTTCGATATGTATTATCAACTGTTTATATGTACACCTTGGTATGTGTACTACAATTGACGTTTTCACATTATCATAATATTTCGGCAAGATCCCACTTGCATATTCATATGCCGTATTCAAGCAGAGACATCTCATACATATGTTTGTTACTTTGTTTGCATTTCAACAGACGTGACCTATAACCATCATCATTGTCATGTACTCTTTCCCATTGCATTGAGTTTTACATTTTTATTTTCTGTTAAGGTTTGCGTTTGTGAGTTTTGTTTGGAGTCAACGGCATTAACTGATGTGGTCATGACCCTCTTGTTCTGGGTAGACAATGTTTCGCCGAAGAATAGTTCGCCGAGCCATCCAGGGAGCATCATAGTTATTTGCAATCCCGTCAGCCAGTGCAGAATCACTTGACTGTGTCGATATGCTCGTGGCTAGCAATTATATATATATCGTAATCAAAATCGGTAGAAAATTCGCCGGAATTCCATCGAAGTCGGTAGCATTAGTCTCGCTACGTCTAGAGCGGCAGCGAACATCGTTCATTTGCGCGCTCTTAGCTACATCACAATTGGTTTATGGCTAACATGGGTGGCCGGCGTTATTTTCTTTAGGGCATGATTTACCACAGTATGTATTTGTTGAAAACACAATTTTTCTATGGATTTATTTTTTTCTTTAGGTATTTGCCCGTGTCTTTTTCATTATAATATGCTTTCTCATCATGTCATTTATTTTTTGAATGAGTCTTCTGAAGTATTTTAATAAACTTGAAAAATAACTATTTACTTCTCATACAGTTTCAACAAGAATCTTTAAAATTTACTTTTTATTTTTTCAGAAACGTTTCTAACACCTTGTTCAACACCACCAGTTAGTGAGGCAAGTGATTCTGTTGAGAAAACTGTAATTTCAAATTGTCCTATCAACGAAACAAACATTCATAATAAGTTATATGATCAATACTCCCTCGAGCTCACAGACATGCAAATTTTATTAGGAAAAGCCAAAGACAATTGGAGGTACGCTCTAAATAAAGGTTATTCGAATTTGCACGTTCTGGATAGATTTAGTATATCTCTGCAAATTGAAAGAAGAGTAGTCTACACCGCAGATCCGCAATTTCCCAGTTTGACAATCAATGGCAACCTACCCCGATTAACTGCCCATTTGAGCGAAAACAAAATTATATCAGCTAGAAATCTTCTGCATTTGATAACAGCCACTGGTGTACCTTCGCCTTTTAAAACACCACCAACTAATGTAGATACGGATTTGGATGTTGGCGAGGAAGATGAATCTGTCAGTGTAAACTCCAGTGTAGAACATTCCAAGCTGGTCATCATGCAGTTCACAGTGGATCAACTGTCTTTGGAAATCCAAAGCAGAGGTAGAAGTATCTCCGAGTTACAAGTCGCTGGAGTGAAGGCAGCATTCACGAAACGTTCCATCGATATTAGTGTAGCTTTAACAGTGCACAGCTTACTAGTGGTGGATGCCTTACAAACATTCGGACCAGACTTTGAGCTGTTGATCGCTAGTCATAAACACGTTGGTATGGATTCAATGTCGGGGAGCATCAGAGATAGTGAGCCTACTTCCCCAACTTCTCCTGGAAGCCCTGATCCTAGTCTGGTGAGAAATGGCGCCACATCCCCAATAGCTCTAAGTCAAGCATTGAGCACTCTGGCCACTACTCCTCCTCTGAGGTGGTGTGAAACTATGAAAAATAATTATGATATCGATACAGAGGCTCTAATTTCCATAGAAGTAGTTTTGATAAGTGGACAAGAACCCCTGCAGATTGCAAATATTCAATTCAATAATTTGGATGTTATTGGTAAGTTTTTAGCACTAATCGTGATACTGTTGAAATGTGTTTATTAAAATTTAAAACCTCTTCTTATTGAGAAATATAAAGCATGGTTGAATGAAAACTAAAGAGACCTCATCAGGCTAGTATTTTTAAATGAAGGTGTTTTTTCTGGTATTTATGACTCCTTCTCCTTCGCTCCTATGCAATAACTTTATTATTTTAACTTTTCCAAGAAACTTTGGCTGTTTATAAGGGAACTTGGAATTGTAAATGTGCAAAGATAAATTGTCAAATATGAAAATACTATTCATCTAATAAATACTTTTTTATGAGAACTTTGAATTTGTTAACTTTTTCAACTTGGTTGGTAGTTCGTTGTAAATTGTAACACCATTATGTAAGATGCGACGTTTCCCAATATCCGTTTTTGGTCTGCTTGGATATAATTCTTTAACTACACATATATTCCTGATTTAAATCCAAACAACTGAACTCCGTTTTCCACGAGTCGGTAGCTCATGTAAAAAAATGTACAATGAAAACCGTTTTTTTATACATGATCCGATATCTAACAGTTTTCTAGCTTTGTTTGCAGCAAACAAATCAATTATCTCCTCGGTGTTGATGTCAATTCTACAGTGGATTAACATTAACGCCAAACCGTTTAGTCGTTCCTGGCTTGTGGAGTTTCTTAAATAAGTTTTGGGCGTTTCAGAGAAGAGAAAGTCCTTTCAGGGGTACATGTGGAAACAGGTAGTGTCGCCAAGATCAAGTTTGTATGCATATTACCGTAAGGTTGCCTGCAGCAGAGGTTGCGCAGTGAGCGCTTCTCGCCATAGGCTCAGCCTCATCTGACCCATTCCTACTTCGAGGTTTACACCAGCCGTGCGTAATCGTAACATGGCCATTAACGCAACCTTCTTAACGTACAGGTCCAGAGGGGACAGACCAGTAATGAATTTCTTTACCGCGGTTGGTGTTGTTCTCATGGCTCCTGTGATGTTTAAACAAGCCAATCGTTGTATTTGATATAATTTTCGGATGGCCGTTGCTTGTAGAACTTTCGGGGGGATCAATCCTCCTTGATCCCCCCTGGCTACGGCCTTGATTGGGAAGATTGGACTTTGGTTTCAATGTCATAACCATATACCCATGATTTATCACCAGATATGATCCTTTTAAGTAAATCTGACATCATTCAATATTTCCTGAGCGATGCGACGGTTTTTTTGGTCAAAGTTTAGCAATTTTGGAACGAACTTCGCTGCCAGACGCTTTATACCCAAAATTTCCAAAAGAATTGCATGGTTTGAGCCAACCGATATTCCGACATCCTCAGCAACTCCATAACCATTTTCTTCACTTTCTCAACATTTTCATTGATTGTTGTTGATGTGCTGGGGCGTTCAGGACAAGCGTCGTTATTCACATCTTCTCGACCTTCTGGAAAAAGCTTGTACCACTTGAATATTTTTCTGACCCAGAGTACAGAATCACCGTATGACACCGTTAACATTTCTAGTACTTTTAAACACTTAATTCTGTTTTCTACGCAAAATTTGATGATAATCCTCTGATCCATTTTTTTCGATAGCAGAAAATCACTGAATAACGTGAATATGATATTATTATTATATTTCTTGGGACTGAAGCCATATCTCAGAGTAAAATTATCTAATTTTTTTTTCACAAATAAGTCGTTGTGGTGGTTATGTATGCAGATGATTTGATATTTGATGCATATGTTGCATATAATATAATAAACGATATTCCATTTCAACGCCCTCTCACATTGACTGATCTAGGTGTTACCTTCGACACAAAACTTTCCTTGGTACCACACATTGAAGCCATTCTGTCTGCTGCAAACAAAATGTATGGATTTATTGCACGTATCTCCAGATATTTCTCGGATTCATCTACATTGAAAACCTTATGTATTGTTTTCACCTTATAACTTATTGTAATTGTATTGTATTGTGATTTGACTTATATCCCTGTTCTGTAGTTGAGTATAACCTGTGTATAAATAAATATGAAAGTGTGATGGAAATAATTTCAAAAACTCCTAGTGAGAATGATCCTAGCTATGAAATATGGTTCTAATCAATTGGGTGCATAACTTTGAACTTTTTATTTATAGAAGAGACCGAAACAAAATCTGTAATGTTCAATATGGTATTGCAGAAACACATGCATACAACATTCATCATAAAAATATAATTCTCCTATGCCAGGTTTCTCCTGAAACACTGTCACTTAGAATACATTTAGGAACCTTTTTTCTACNTAAGATTAAGTACTGTGTATCTCAAAAACCAGAGCTAATAAAAATTTTTCATTGTTATTTTCGTTTTTATCACCCCAAAATTAGTAGAAGTTGACTAATTTAGTGTAGGAAACATTCAAAAAATATTTTTTTGTTGTGTTGTGTTATTATATGTGATAGTAGACTGTGCTATCATGTTATGTGTGGCAGATGTGGTGCATATGACATGCCGCCCCGGAGTATGTGTTTGTGAAGTTGTTTCCGAACTTTGCAGCTGGCGCAATGAACATCCTACTGAATCAACTGCAGATAGAGCTTACGACTAGTTGGATTTAATTTTGTTTGTTCGGGTTAATCAGACGGTTCACTTTGTCTGAAATGACCTTCCCGATACTAACGAGGAGCAAGTACTCCGAAACCGGTCTATCGGTGATTGTCCCGACCAAAATGAAATTAATTTCTGCTTTTCATATGTGGAAAGTTACTTGCGACAAATCTTCCAAATGGAATCCGTTGCACAGGTGCCTGATGGTTTTATTGCAGCTTTCTGCAAGACAATAGCTGGGTAAGTTGTTGTTTTTCCGTTGGGTATCTGACACGTACCTACAAAGTCGTAGGTTCACATGAGAGGCAAGGGGTAAGGTGTCTTTCACCTGAACCTGGGCATAAGCATAGTAAAAATCAACCAGTAAGTCCACTCCCACTACTTTCATTCATAAATTCACAAAGTTCTCGGTGAAGTCGAAACGAAGAGCGAAGCCAATTTCGTTCTTTTACCATAGGCGTGCGCACCATATTATAGAATATTTTGTGGTAAATTACTTGTAACCAACTACAAAAACTAAAAACAATAATAACAACAGCGAATAAACTAAACACAATATCAACTTCCGACCGTTTATTATAACTAATCCGATGTCCGTGGTACCGTCAAATCCTTCGATGCTACAGCACTGAACGCGTTGGATGAGAATCTCATCCTAAGTTTGGTGAAGGTCCCCGGCAACTCGGACGAATCACGTGGTAAGAGAGCCTACTGGTTATATTATTCTACTGTGGAATAAGTATATAATAATAACATTTGTTCACAAAAAGGATTTGAAGCTTTAATAACTTCTAATTAGTATATGCAAGTGCTTTCGCTGTGCTATCATCTTCATGATTATAGTGTTTTAAGTTCAATTCAACCAAGAACAGAAAAAAAATTGTGTATTTATTTGTACCGTATATTTTTAGGCCCATTTATCTGAAGACTGGAAATTATCATCTATAAAACTGGAAATGCAAAATGTGACGCTTTGTCTTGTGAAATCGCACAGTATAAACTCACCGCTGGCTCGTATACATTTCATAAAATCACATCTCACAGTAGAAACTTATAGCAGTTTTTGCCAGGATATAGACTTGGTGTCAAGAGAAATATTAATCATCGATAGTCGCTTCAATGGTTCAGACACGAGTGGTAGACAAAATGTTTTCACCAATATTCTTCAACCGATCAACCAATCCAATGATGAAAACAATGTGCAGGCAGAAATCCACAGCAGGAAAAGACAGGATTACATGAAAGTAACTATTCTCCTGAATGACATTCGATTAATGGCCATTTTTGATTGGTGGGAATCAGTTAGGGAATATATATTTCAAAACATTTCTTCAAGCGATGAGGATTATACTATGGTTCAAGCAAATGGAGATGTTGGGGCAGCAAGCCAATTCGATTTGAAATTGAATATTACAGATTCTGAAATAGTAGTTGTTGAAGATTCATCGCTAAGGGATACAAATGCTGTTATTTTGAAGGTTTTTATTTGTGATAATTTACATGTAACGTCAACAATAAACAATTTTTTGGAAATTTCAGAGTACGACAGTCATGCAATATCGGCCTTATAACCTCGAAAAACCATTATCATGCAGCCTTAGTAAATGTGAGATGTTTTCCTGTATTCTGGAAAATAAAGATGAAACAGCTTTATCCATTATTGATCCAGTTACTTTGAATATTGAAATGAATCAAGAAAATGTATTAGAGGTATTTGGAATTCAAGACTATTTTTCTTCCATCATCCTTAATCTATTTGTGTTGATAAACCTTCTGATTTTTGCATGATATTCAACTTTCATAATTGGAATGATAGCGACAAGCTTAGAAATAATTTCATAGCTGGTAACTGAGACAACACATGGATCCAATTTATATTCGAAAGATTACTAATGAAGGTCCAAAGAATACTAACCTGGACCTTCATAAGATATTGTATATTTTGTTTATATCATAGGGATTTTCCTAGGTTATTCACCAAAAGATATCCATTTAAGTCATGAATTGGACATGAACGGTGTTGTTTGAGAAACTCAAGCACCAATTTAGTATTTTTTGTGTTATATTGATTTTGGTGTAGGATGATACTATATGATGTAGAATTTATAACGAGTCTTCAATTATTTTCAGGTTCAACTTCAGTTTTTGATGGTGAGGTTATCTTATCACGACATGTGCATGTTCATGCAGATACTGAATTCATTACCAAAACAAATATTTTCTAAAAGTGAAGAGAACTCGGCAGTAACAGAGGTAATTCAAGGTAAGAAAATTTGATAAAACGGTAAGCGTCAGTCGATACCAAAGCACGATTATATTCTAAAGACAGGCAGAATACCTTTACTTGGGTTTTGAAATTCTGTTTTATATTGATATCAATGTGTGATCTTATTCTGTTAAAACGTTTGGTTTCAATGCGGCCAGGCATACTTTAACATGTTGAAATAATAAACAATGGTTTGTTCAGTTGTTCCTAATATAACACCTATGAGAAATCCTACAAGCTGGCACTCATTTATTAAAGGTAAATAGTTTTAAAGTAATTTCCACTGAAGAAGAATAAAATCATATAATTCTGGTAGTAAGGTTTTTTAAAAAACCTTGATCTTACTTAACTCTACGTTGTCAACTGACAACTCACAAAAATGTATACTTCATCTATTTCTATTTTGTTCCCTTCAAAGTAGTCCCTCTCAGATTTAATACACTTGTGCCAGCGTTTTTTCCAATCCTTGAAGCGGTTCTGATATGCAGTTTTTGGTCGCAAAACGTCGCCCTTTCATGGGTCTTTTCAATCTTGGGAGTAGGAAAAAGTCGCAGGGGGTCAAATCTGGGGAATACGGTGGCTGAAGCATGATTACAGTGTTGTTTTTGACCAAAAAATTACGAACAAGTAATGACGAGTGAACAGGTGCTTTGTCGTGATGCAAAAGCCATGAATTTTTCCTCAATATCGGAGTTTTTTTTCGTATTGCTTCTCGCCGGCGGTGCATAGCTTCAATATAATACTCCTTAGTGACTGTATGATCATGTGGTAAGAACTTCTGATGCACTACGCGACAGTAATCGAAGACTACAGTGAGCAAAACCTTGACTTTTTTTGTCTTGGCTATCCTGGGCTCTTCTATTGGGAACAAGGCCGTAGCCAGAAAACAATTTGGGGGGGGGGGGTTGGTTTGGTGGAACAGTATATTCCGCCTAATAGAATAATAAAAAATTTGTTCCAAAATATTTCTGGAGTAATTCTACAAGAAACGTCGACAATTTTTTTAATCTTCTATAGACACTGGTAGTGTTCTATAGATATTATTTTTTTGGTATCCCCAGAAAAAGAAATCTGGGGCCAACACATCTGCCACATAAGTTCCCTTTGACATCCCTGTTCATTATTTGTATGTGACTATAAATCATGTAAAAGCAATTGAGAATCTTAGATAGTATAAGATGACTATGTTAATAAAATATTAAAAATATTCAGATATCTATTATTTGAATTAGACAATGCATGTTTCTCTTAGGAATCATTTGAAGACAACTCACAAGAAGTAATGTCAATATATACAAACAATTCATAACTCATAGGAAGTGAATAAAATGCCACAACCAATAAATGTATCTTTCTGTTTCTTATTTCAACTTCTCTTTCTCAGTAATTATTCTTTTGTATGTTACTTCTTATCCTGAAACAAAAAATCTCTGTTTTATTATGAATAGAAAAGAAATGAAAGCTTATGCAGTCTAAAACAAATTGACAAGAGAAGTGAGTAGGTGAATTCAACCTGAAAATGCTTCTATCAAACTCTTATAGGTTATATGAATTTATTCACAAATTTTTGGTAAAGAAATACACAATAACTATCTATTTTTAAAATCATAAAGCCGTTGTAGCTAATCATATTGAAATAAAAATGTTAGAATTAATATATCATGTGTAGTAATTCCATTTGCTAAGAGGTTATTAATGAACCAAATATAAAATCTTAAGAAACATCAAATAATTTCAAAGAAACCCTTGGTTTTTTAAATAATAATGCGGTAAGTAACAATGAGCTAGAACATTTTTTGTCTNTTCCTCATCTTCAAAAATGATGTTACCTCCGAGCTTTCGTGTGGCAACTTACTTTTTGCAGACGACTCGAAGATATTTTCATCTATCACAAGTTTAGAAAGCTGCTCTTATCTCCAGTCTCAATTAGACCTGATAGATAACTGGTGTCAAATCAATAAATTGGCAATGAATGTTGAAAGGTGCAAAGTTTGCTCCTTTACACGTAATGCCAATATTATTGAGTATTTTTATACTTTCGAAGATGAAATACTCCTTCGCCAAGAAACTGTCAAAGATCTAGGGGTGACGTTCGACAGCAGGTTGACATTTGTTGGCCACACCAATACTGTCGCGGCATCAGCTAGAAAAATGCTTGGCTTTGTTCTGCGCAACTGTAAATCATTCACCAATATTACGGCCTTAACCATACTTTATACATCTCTCGTTCGCTCCAAGTTAAAGTATGCTACTTTGATTTGGTATACTCTCTATAATTATTATTTTGGACAAGAAAATCTCCAGAAAATCAATGAGTTTGTTCCGAAATATCGATTTTATTTTGATGTTTTCTGATTTGATATTATTGAATATTAAGTTCTCGTTACAATACTGTATAATTTTGAGTACATTTCGGTGTTAACAAAAAATAAAAATAACTTTACACGAAAAACTTTGAAAATTATTTCACTCTTCAAAAAATTGACCATGGTTAACACCATAGTTGTGTAATTCGTAATATTACAGGCTTCTGAAATAAACCGTCGTATACTCAATCAAAAACAAAAAATTATTTTATAGAAGAGTTTAGTAGAGCCTCATCTGAGATATGGTATAATTGGTTGGGGTGGAGTGTCGAAAACTCATGTACATTCCCTTGAGGTTATGCAGAAGAGATTTATCAGATGTATCCTAAGGAAAGGTTGCGACTACCTTAACAATCTACTTTATTCAAAATCTGGAATATTTGATCCCAGACAGCTGTTTTTTATAAATATTACTGCTGTACAGCATAAAAACAAAAAATAATCAACTACTTATCACCATAAATATGATACACGTCGGAATCATACCATTAATGCTCAAATCAGTTGGGCAGAAATCCTTCCAGTATTTAGGACCAAAACTCTACAGTTTTCTTTCTGAAAATTTAAGATGTGAAACAAATCTCAAAAAATGTATGACAAAGATTAAATTATTTGTCAAGAATATACCACGAGCAGAGGTACATAGACAAATTTAAATATTTACTTCCACGATTGTGGATATAATGTGTCATGATTTGTTTGTAGTCTGGAACCCTTATGATTGAAATTGCTCTATCCATTGATTGTTTGATTTATTTATATTACGTCCAAATGTGTCCAGTTCAAAGTTATGTTTTTATCCATACTTCATTCAATACATTAGTTTATTTTGATTCTTCATATTCTGTTCTAATATCTCCAGTTCAAACTTATATTCTTATCTATATCTAGTACTTATTTCAATAGATTTATTGGTTTTATTTATTTATATTCTTTTTAAATGTAGCTAGTTTGAATTTATATCATAGTACTTAATTTTAAGCATGAATCTCATTCAATGTCAGATTCAGTATTCTCATTCCTTACACACAGGCAGATCATTTTGCCTCGTAAGATGTATAGGTTTTCATTTTCAGTAGTTTCCGTGATATCCATAAAAATGTGCTGAATTTTGAAACTGTACGTTTGGTAAATAAGTAGTAACATCTTTTTAAATAATCCTGTAAATTAAAAAATTGATCTACCATATATTTAAAAATTTCAGTTGAAGCTAACCAAGAATTCATGACTGTTGATAAAACGCATTTCTTTCAGCCAACCAAGAAACTATTGTGGAATTGATTGGGTTCGTCAAAAGATCATTTCCATCTACATCCCAAAAACCCACCGGAATTAACACATCAATTCGTAAACCTTCCAGTGTTGGGGGATCAACAGAATCATTACTAGATGAAACATCAAATACTGATATCGGTTCTACGGAGATAACATTCGACTTTCATCGTCTCAATATCCTCTTATTACGAGGTGTTGCTAAAGATGGAAATCCTTATGGAAAAAAAATTTGCACAGCTACAATGAGCGAAGCCAAAATTCGAGCAACCATAGGCTCCAATCTCGAAGTGGGAGGATCACTTGGAGGTTTGCAAGTGCTCGATTTAACTCCAGAAGGACAACTGCACCAGCGTATACTAAGTGTTGGACAAGATCCCCTTGTGGAAACAGTACCTTTATTAGGCGTTACCTCTGCTGGAACCTACGATGATAATACTGCGTTCAGCTTTAAAGTAACCAGAGCTTTGGCAAGTGGCAAGGAGGAAGATATCTCAACTGTGAACATAAAAATGGCTTCTTTGTGGTATACCCACTCTCCTTACTTCACCGCGGAGTTGCAGTCTTGCGTAAATGAGTTCAAGCAATATTTAACAAACTTGGCAAGGTCAATAAAATCAGCTGCGACCGATATGGCATTGGGTCTCGTACAAGCACGGGCTACTGCATTGGCACATACGTTGAACATGAGTAGAAAAATACCCAGTTCGATTTATGGAAGTGCTGTTTCTTTTTCTGAAACTTCTTCCCCCTATAAAAGAAAAAGAATACGTTCCACTTCAAATGATCAGTCCGCTTATGCATCTGCCAAGGATACCATACCTCAGACACCATACAGTCCGGAAGATTTGGACGAACTAGTGCTGAATTTGAGATTGAACATTGAATTAGACAGCCCAGTACTTGTACTACCTAGATCTAGTGATAGTGCTGAGGTTTTCGTTGCTCACTTGGGTAAAATCAGTATAAGTAATAACTATTCAGATGATACAAAAAGCAATATTTATAATGGCGAGTATACCGAAAGTAGAACTGAACATTACAACATCGAAGTTAAAGATATGAATGTTTATTCGTTAGACACTAGTTCAAGAAGGGTGCCTGGAAATATAATCATGAAGTCAGAAGTGCTTTATGATTCTAAAGCTATCGCTAAACCCATTTTACATGAAACTAAACTGAAATTGCTCATCGATAGAGAAGTTTGTAAATCAATTAACACCAGGCATAGTAGCGAATCGAATTTACTTTTAGATGGAAATGAATATGATGCACATAATCACAATAATTCTGGAAAATCGATCCAAATTATTGGAAGTATTGTAACGGCTTTGAAATTATCCTTGACTAGGGATCAGTACGAGCAAATATTGGATACTCTGGAATGGTTCACTTCTTCAAAACAGATTGAAACACAGAATACTTCTAGGATGCCCTTGAAGTCACAGTCTACTCTGACTGATATAAATGAAGAAGATATAGGTGTTACTACCCTTAATATGGATCCGAACATCCGTGCCAAACTTTTTCCAACTTTCACTGCTAGCTCAAATTATAAGAAACCTTTGAATAACGCTTCTGCATTGAAAATAACCTTTGATGTGCCAATATTCACTATTGAACTAAGAGGGGAAAACTCGATTGGAGAAAGTGGTCTTGTAGATTTATCCTTTCAAGAATTTGTTTTCAATTATGAAAAATGTGCAGCTTATGAAACAAACATGCAGATTTCCTTAAGATCTATTTTGATGGAAGATTTGCACCAGCCTACAGGTAGCAGACAACGTATCATGGTCAGTTCAGCTACTGATGCTGAAGGTATTTCTAATTCAGCATGTGTCTCACGTTCTTGTCCAGATGTAACTTACCGAGAATATTTAGGAAGTTCACCTCATGGGTCACTTCCAGATCATTTGGAGTCTCCTGATATCTTCGGTGTGGAAGCAACCGGTAAAACAAATTTCAACAAGTTTGGTAATAGACATTTTTATCCTTTCACACCTCCGCCGAGCCCTCAGTGTGGTAGAGTACGTCCTGAAAATAACTTGGTGATCATTAGTATTTTGCTGGTGGACAGTTCTGCCCCAAATTTTCAAGACTACAATGGAATTCAAAAATCAGTATCTGTTGACTTCAATTGCCTGGACTTGGTTATCAACACCAAGTCTTGGATAGTTGTTCTTGACTTTTTCAACATCTCTTCAGGATCAGGTTCCTCTACAAAGATATATGATGATAATGTAGACAATAGTCCTTCAACCTCATCTAAAGAGAAATCTGTGACAAACATCGCAGTAAAATCACTAACCGTAGTTCTTACAAAACCAGATCGAGACATTGCCAAGGTTAATCTCTCTAAGGTTGAAATTGAAGTTAAAACAAGGGGCATGCATAAAGAAGTTGATGGAAAGCTTGGATCCATGTCCTTACAGGACTTAACTTTGAATGGTCAGTTGTATAAAGAGAGGTTCATGACTTCCGGCAAACAAGCACTCGAGTTTCAATATGTCAGGTGAGTTTTGCAAATATTCATATTACCTGTATTACCTACCAACATGAGAGGCCTAAATGTAAGTCGCACATAATGGTAGATAGTATTTATTTCACGAAAATTCAATGTTGAATGTTTGCAAATTGAAACATGGTTACTTCATTTATTTTCGTATTCTAAATTTCAACTTTTATAGTGTTTTATGATTAGCCTATATTTTTAGATGTACTTTTTTCAGGCATCTTCCAGATAGCTCAAAGAATTATGATGCCCAGTTAACTCTAGACATGGCTTCTGTGGTCTATGTTCACACTAAGAGATTTGTGGCAGAAATTTTGGCGTTTTCCAAAAGTTTCACTGAACAACAAGAAATGGTTATGAAAGGTATTCAGGCAGCAACCAGTGGCCAACCAGTAAAAATATACTCAGGTTTTTTTGTAATATCTCTGATTATTTATTTTTAAGGTTCGACTTGAGCCATTGAGGCTGTCTTTGATATTAGAAGCACGCTCGCCAATTATATTGCTTCCTGTTAGTTCAAAATCATCTGATGTGCTTGTTGTTGATCTGGGGCAGCTATCCGTGACTAATGTTTTCAAGTATTCTGACGAAGAAGGCACAATAAGTGTTATATCTAACAATGATGATAAAAAGTGTCTTCTTGATGTGATGACTATCAAATTGGAAAACATGGATTTGTATGCAGGTGTGAAGGATATTAGTTCGAGTCCTCTGAAGTCACCTGTTTCATCTACCAGACTCAAATTAGGAACAATATTTGTTACTAAAGACGGACCTTCTTTACTCCCAAAAAAGTTTCAGTTGAAATTGCAAGTTGAGAAAAATTTAAACGTAAAAGAGTCTCATGCTGTGCCAGATATGAGTATTTATGGCCATTTGTCTACTTTGGATGGAGCACTAGATTTGAAACAATACAGACTGATCAGAGGTCTACTAGATTTCAATTTGGGTGAAGATACTGAAATGATAAATCCCTCAGTTCCTATGAAAACTGATGACACCCAGGTGAGTTCAATAATAATGTAAATCCACCATTTTTTGATATATCAAATAAATATGGTGAGTCAATTTACCTTGGTGTAAAAGAATGTAAAGAAAGCTATAGTTGACATAGTCAAAATATATACAAGTTCAGCTACATGAAATGTACGACTAAAAGTTAACATTTGAAAAATCATTGAAACTGAAGTAGTGTTTCTCTATTTTTTATTATTACTCTTTATTAGCAAATAATGCTCTTCATAGTACAGTCAGTCACTTATAAAATACAAAACAATGAAAAATATATATAAAATTAGAGACAAGTCACATTTTGAAAACAAGAAACTAGAAAACAAGATGAATTATTGATGACAATTACTTGAAATATATTCACTACATTTTCTTTTGAATGAATCACAGCTTTTTATATGACATGGCAAATTATTAAATGCAATCAGGCCAGAACTATACAACGAGTCACAACCTATATGTTCTCTGTTGATATAAAAATTTCCTATTCTATTTCTAGTGGAGTGTGTATGAATACTACTTGTGTAGGTTAACTGATCACTCAGATAATTTGGCAACATATTGTGTTTAATTTTAAATATAAATATTAGCATATTCAGTGTTATCCTTTGTTTAGCAAACATAAGAGACAGTGTTTCCAACATGTATTCCACAGATATGAGTTTATTACAACTTAATATTGCCCTCATGGATCTGTTTTGAAGCTTCTATAGTCTGTTTAGATTTTCATTGCTCACAAAATAGAGTAATGTACTGCAATAGTCAAAGTGGGGTGTTATTATTGATTTATAAATTGTTAATTTTGCATATTTACTTATTTTATTTTTCAATCTATATTGATGAATTTTCGTAGCTATTTTCTTCTGAATATAACTACAATACCACTCAAAGATATTTGAAAGTTGTTACCCTTTCAATGATGACATTATCAATATAAAGATTCAATGACAGCTGTTCATCTTGCAGTTGTCTTAAATGATATTTGCTACCTATTAACATGCGTTTTGTTTTATTAACATTTAACTTGAAGTCGTTGTCACATAACCACTCGTTTATATATAATAGTTCCTCATTCAAACATTCTGAGATTTCATTAGTTGTCCCAGAACAGTACAACATAGTGTCGTCGGCAAACAGTTTTATCTTACACCTTTTAACATGTATCATTTATGTACAGCAAGAATAGCAGTGGACCCAATACTGACCCTTGAGAGACTCCAGAAATTACATTTAAAGTATTGAATGTCACTTGATTATATTTAACTAGCTATGTAACTAGAGTTACAATAAACGTTATTTTTGAACAATATCATTTAAAAAAAAAAGCTAAATATACAAAAAAAGTTGACATCATTATTGAAGTCATTCAAATTTACATGTGCTTAGACATCAAAATTTTCTAGAATATTGGCAGGTTATATTTACTGAATACCTAAAATATAATTTTATGAATGAGTTAGTTACCTGTGAAGATGATTTTCACATTTTCATTGAAGTCTGAATCATGGAAATCAAGCAATTAAACAAAAACGTTTCTTGAGGTTTTTTTAGGTACTACAGCTCCTGACTTTTTTAGATTTGGTTTTCACAACAATAATGATTTTTCCAGATGCTTTGGGTGCACTGTGTGCTTCAAATTTATTTTTTCTATGTTGATTAATTCTTTCCCCATTTTTCATTTCAAAGATTCTTCGATAAATAGCTCTAAAGTATGCGAGATAATTATGAAAATTGTAGCCTAACCTAGAACCTTTCTTTGTTTGTAGATCAGGAAATGATTTATTCAAGAAAGGTGTCATATTTATGACCAAGCATTCTACCTATTTGTACATTTTATGCATAATTGTACATATATTAAATAATTATTCATTTATCAGTATCATAAAATATAGGGCGACTATTATAATCTGATAAAAAGAAGTGGATATATTTATTGAAATGTACTGTAATAAGT